GCTTTTACATCATGTGAAAGCTCAAATATAATGTGGAAATTAACCATTCGGAAAATAAAATTAACTCCTTTGTGAATGCAGCTTTTGTTATTTGGGTAGAAAACATAAGTTTCTACAAAAAAACCTCCCACTCAGTGTCCTTTGGTTCTAAGAATTTTATTTGTGGTAAATGTAGTCTTCCTATTCTGCACGAACTCCACTTGCGACCCTAACAGCCTCTCAGTATTCACCAACCCCACCCCAATTTCCTGTGCTTTGTAATCTAATTTAGCCTAGTTCAAGTTTCGGGGGGGGGGGCTTCTAAAGGTTTTTTTTGGGCAGGGGTAACTTCCTGGATTTCTTCCTTCCTTCCTCCCTCGCAGTCAGAATATAAGCAGGTGTTTTTTGTTCTTAGTAAAAGAGTGACACTTTGTGCTTAAATTGCTTTTTTCTTTTTCACTAATCTAAACAAGCTTCATATGAATAAGTGCTTTGTTGCTACACAGCCATGTCTTTATCACGGTAATTGCACTGGGAAACTGCAGCTGAGCTGGCACCAGAAAAACCCAGTGTGAAGATAAGAACCATAGTTTCTTGTGTCTCCACCTTTCTTTGTAATTTTCTTGTTTTTGCATGCATGCATGCCCTCCGTGAACACTATATATCGCAACCCTTTCAGTGCTTCGTGTTACTTTGCCATTGTTTCACCCAGTGAATCCTGGGAACTGTAGTTTGAGAAGTGCATGGAAGCATAGAATTGCAGAGCTGTATGATTCAAGACCACTGGAGCAGGAGCGGCAAATGGCTGACCTGTGAGTGAAGTCTGGTCCCCAAAGTATTTTTATTTATTTTTTTGGCCCCCAGCAGTTTCTGCCTCTGTGCTGGTGATTTTAAAAACAAAAACACAGCACCAGCTGTATGTATGCAGCACTCTTGCCAAAAGCTTATTGTCTGCTGTGGCTGCCCAGATGGGGAAGCCAGATAGCTCAGTGGTACAGCATCTGCTCTGAATGCGAAAGGTCCTAGATTCAATTATTGGCATGTTCAGATAGGTTACATTTCTTGCCCTATGAGAAACCTTGAAGAGCCAGTGGCGTAGCGTGGGTTGTCAGCACCCGGGGCAAGGCAAGTAATTTGCGCCCCCTAACCCATGGATTTGCGCCCCCTAACCCGTGGATTTGCGCCCCCTAACCTGTGGATTTGCCCTAACCCCAGATGTTGCGCCCGGTGCGGCCGGCACCCCCTGCACCCCCCACGCTACGCCACTGTGAAGAGCTACTGCCGAAGGTCATCAGATCCACATAAGAACGTCACCCCAGGAATTTATTGGAGAAAAGAAGTACACCTAACAATAGGTTTTTTAAAATACTGCTCTTATAACACTCAAATATACTTATTAATACTTGCATTTAAATAAACTAAAAAGGCCCAAATGCTGTGACCTTTCTTCACTGGGTGGGGGGGTCGCTCCATCCCCCTGATCATTTTGGTTGCCCTTAACTTGATAACATCATCCCCAGCAAAGGGAGAGGAGAAGGCAAGCAACTTTTCAGGAGTACTATATTACAATAGCGCTTTACACTTAGCTGTGATTCTCAACAGCTGGTGTTCAGAGGCATACTGCCTCCAACAGGGTGGACATTACTGAGCTTATTGGACCAATGGTCTGACTTGGAAGAAAGCAGCTCCCAGTGTTCCTACAGATTTCTTAGCTAGATCACCAGAAGGGGGATGCTCTCCAAGCACTCTGGAAGCAGGAATTAGTGCTTTGATCTGCTCTCCGCCAGCACTTGGGAAACAGTGGAACAGTTTCATGAGCACTCCAATTTGCTCTGATCTCGCATCTCTGATCCGCTCTGCTCTGTTAAATGACTTGGGAATACAGCAGTGAGCTGGTCTCCTGAAAATGAAAGGCATGGTCTGGAAGTGGAGGTTGTATGTAGTCAAAGACTGTCAGAAGTCGCTGTTGCTCATCTTATCTGGGAAAGGAGGGAGGGGGCTTGATCCAATTTTTATTGGTACCTCTTGCCTTCCCAATGTAGAACTGCTGTCTCTTGCTTGATTGGTTTTTAAAAACCAATGCATGTTTGTGCATGCACACACACTGCCAGAGCATGGGTGACCATGCCCAGTTTTTGGAAATCAAGAGCATCCTGTCCACCCTTCACAAAACTACAATAGCTTCCTAGGGTTCTCTGGGCAAAAGAAATGGCCACTAAGCTGCCTATGCCTTGCCCAAACACAGACGGAAGTTGGCAAAAGGTCAGAGTCACAAGAGGGGGTGACGATGGTCACTAGCTTAGTTGGCATTATAGGGGGAAACAGACAAATCCATGAAGGATAGATCTATCAAAACTATTGCCTGTGAAAAGTTGAACATAACTGAATTTCAGAGGCACTTTAACTCTGAACACCAGTTGCCAGGGAGTGACAACACAGGCGCTGCTGTTACCTTCAAACTGCTTGTGGGTTTCTGGAGGAATCTGGTTAGGCACTGTGGGAAGCTGCAGGCCAGACTAAAGAGACCTTTGGTCTGACACAGCAGGACTTGTCTTATGTGTGGCTATCAATACCACCTGCCTTCCTACTAAAGGGCACCTCAGGCAGGAGCAGTAGGGCTCAAAGGCAGTTTTTGTCTTTTTGCTTGGAGAACAGCTGATGAATGTTCTTTGTATTCCTGCTTGTATTAATGAAATTCAGAAGGCACTCTAGAGAAGATGATGTGTCACCGGTATCCGGCAACCCAGCTGACTGCCACATGTCCAGTGGGTGTCATTCTAAGGTCACGATCACACCAAACATTTAGCGCAGCAGTATGATATCTCTTTGAACAGTCATGGCTTCTGTCAAATTATCCTGGGTGCTAAAGTTTGTTATGGATGCTGAGATTTGCTAAGAGACCCTATTCCCAGCCCCCAGAGCTACCAGTTCCAGAATTCCCTGGGAAGAGGGACTGATTATTAACTACTCTGTGGATTGAACTCTTTGAAGGGGAAAGGGGGTCTCCAAGCAGCCCTCAGCACTCTTAATAAACTACAGCTCCCAGAATTCTTTGGGGGAAGCCACGAGCATTTAAAGTGGTATCACTGTACTGTACAGTGGTACCTCAGGTTACATATGCTTCAGGTTACAGACTCCGCTAACCCAGAAATGGTACCTTGGGTTAAGAACTTTGCTTCAGGATGAGAACAGAAATCGTGCTCTGGCGGCGTGGCGGCAGCAGGAGGCCCCATTAGCTAAAGTGGTGCTTTAGGTTAAGAACAGTTTCAGGTTAAGAATGGACCTCCAGAATGAATTAAGTTCTTAACCTGAGGTACAACTGTACTTTAAATATATGGTGTGGATGTGGCCTAATCTAGGAGACCAGGGTCAGGGCTGGCTCGAGATGTTTTGTCATTGTAGGCAAATTGCTCCAATGTCCCCAGCCGCCACATATCAGTGTCCTTGCCCCCTCCCTGCCCATTCTGTTGTGCCTGTGCCAACCCTGTCACAGCAACTGTATCCTCACCTGTGGTTGTGCCTGCACTGCTGCCACAATACAGCAGCAGTGGAGAGGGTAACAGCACTGTATCGGTGGTGTGGGAGGGGGGGTGCTGGGGGCTGGCGGTGGTGCAACAGAAGGGGCCTGAAGCCATCTCCTGAAGCAAATGGTTTCACCTTGCCACACCTCCTTGAAATAGGACGCTCAATAAGTCATCCCTGCCTACCTCTCCTGCCACACAGAAGAGTTCTGGCTTGAGAGATAAGGGAGGCATATGACCAGGCTCTCCAGAGAGCTGGGCTCTATTGATATCTTGAGCAAGAAAATTTCAGAGCAAGATATTGGTTGGGTGTTTTTCTGTTTTGGGGTTTTTTGTTTTTTAAAAATGAAGCTGATCATGACTGGTTATCCTTTTCTGGGCATGGGAATGAATGTCTGCTACAGAAATAAGAGCTCAATCAGGTTGTGAAGGCCAGCAGATAAAAGGATTCTTTGTTAAATAGACACCAGCATTCAGTGGGACGAGGTTAACCTGGGGATGATATGAGCAGCTGGGTGTTTCTACTTGGATGCATTTTCAGAGGAAACGAAACCAAGTCACAAAAGGCCTGTAAGGCCTGGACTTGAATAAGTAATAATTATATGTTTTGCAGGGTTGGACAAGATTATTTAGAGGAGGTTTCACCAACCGGGTGCCCTTCAGATGTTTTGGACTACAATTTCATATAAATTGGCCAGAGATGATCTTAGGCAACGCACTGCAGGTGCTGAGTACCAGTATGATCTAGGCTTAACCTCAAATGACATGCTAGGACAGATGCAGAGGAGGGTGACTAAGATGATCAAAGGTCTGGAAACCAAGCCTTGTGAGGAAAGGTTGAGGAAGTTGGGTATGTTTAGCCTGGAGAAGGCAGCGAAGTGATAGGATAGGATACCTGTCTTGAAATACCTGAAGGGCTGTCACATGGAAGATGGAGCAAGCTTGTTTTCTGCTGCTCAAACCAATGCATTCCAGTTACAATGAAGGAGATTCCAAATAAACATTAGGAAGAACTTTCTGAAGGCAAGAGCTGTTGGACAATGTAAGGGACTACCTCAGAAAGTGGTGGACTATCCTTCATGGCAGGTTTTTTTTAAAAAAAAACCACAGAGGTTGGGTGGCCATCGATCAGGGATTCTTTCCTTTGATTTCTCTGCTGCAGGGGTTTGGAGTAGAGGTGCCTTGGGGTCCCTTCCAACGATGGGCGTAGACAGGATTTTTGTTAGGTGGGGGTCAGACCGTCAGTTTGCTATGTATTTTTATTGATTTTTTAATTGGGGGCAGCTGCCCCTCCCTGGCTACGCCCATGCTTAAACTCTACATTTCCAAGCTCTCTAGAGACCCGCTGCGCCCCGACCCTCGTGCTCCCCCACCTCATTCTGCAGCTCCACGTGGGCTTATAGAAAGGGGAAGGAACGGGCTGCCAATCGCCAGGCGCGCAACGCGCAACTAGAGGCGGGGTTTCCCCAGGCCCCGCCTCTGAAGCACCTGCCTCGGTTCCCACCACGGAGGCAGGCGAAGCGCGCCTTCCCTCCGCTCTGGCCCCGCTGCAGTCGGGCTTGGCGAGGCGGGAGTGCGGCCGCGCCGCCGGGGGAGCCGACGCCACTAGAGGGCAGGGGCGGCACCCGCACGTCGGGCAGGCAGCGCCTTTCCGCTTTTGACTCACCCCTTCGGCTTGGGCTCTCCTCTATTTCTCGCACACCCACCTACGCACGCAGGCAAAACCCCGAGCCGAGGACAGCGACGAAGCCCTGGCCGGATAAGCAGCGGCGGCAGAGGTGAGTTTAGGGGCTGTTGGCTCCGTGCGCCCTGAGCGCGGCGGGCCCGGTACCTCAGACGCTTCGGACAAGTGCCCTTAACTCTCTCAGCGTCAAAAAGGCGGGGGGGGGGGGCGTGAGGGCTTTGCGCACGCGCCGACGCCCCCTCCCAACTTTTGCGCGCGGACCTTCCTCCTCCGCAGGACCCCCCAGATATCTGGCCAGGTCGCTTGTTTGGTGGGTGTTCTTGCGCTCGGGGAAGAAAAAGAGGTTGCGCTGCGCTAATTGGCTGGTTGGGGCTTCCAGGGCAAAAGAATAAGGGGCTTAGGGAAAGGTAGCGTTGTCCCTTCCTCTTCCCCCATCTCTTTTTTTTTAAGTCAAGGATCTGAAGACAGAAAACAAGTGTGCCTCTGAGCATGCACGGTCTGCAGACACCTCTAGCCCTCGCTTTTTCCACATCTCCTCACAAAACTCTGCAGAGTAGGGGAGGAAGGCTTTGATCCTTGCATCTTTTAGTAGCCCAGGTGGATCTGCTTGGCAGCTGATGGAATGTAGCTGGGGAGATTTTTCTTTTCTTTTGTGAACTGTGGAAGATGAGGGGCATCCTTTCAAAACGTTTCGGACGTGTTGAGATTGTTTGTGTTATGAAATACACACAGAGACATATATGCATGTCTATGTGTTTATATATATATATGTGTGTGTGTGTGTTTATATATATACACACACAAATGTATAACACCCAGTAGAGTCCTATGCAACACTCAGGAGAAAGGATCCCTGTGTCTTCAATGGAGCTTACAGCCAGCAAGCTGAGCATTAAGATTGCGATGAAATTTGTCTCCATACTAAATTCTGAATCTTGGCCATTATCTGATGCTATTATGGTAATTGCTCAAATCAAAGAAACATTAAGGTTGTTGGTTGAGTTTAAGAACTTGTTTGATGAAATCTGCATGCTCTTGCATAGGAGCAGAAGAGCGGCCCTGGTCCTTCCGTAAGGGGGGAAAAAAGAACATTCTTGGTTGGTTCTTCCGTGGTGCATTTGAGGCATTCTCTCCTGCGTGAGAATGAAAGCAGAACCACCTCTCCTAAGATGGCACTGACTCTTCTTATAATTCACATTGAAAAATAATGTCTCTTTAAATAATGTGTTAACAAAGTCTCTTTTTAATTGACTTTAAAAAGAAGTTTTCAGTCAAACCAACTGATTAAAAATTTATAGCGCTTATGATGTTTCTTTGCCTCTGAGCATATCCAGAGTGTTCTTCCTCTCTAATGAGCAACCACCAAAGAATCCTGGGAACTGTAGTTTAATCATTACAGAGCTACAAAAGTCTTAACAAACTACAGTTCCCAGGGTGTGGGTGTGTACTTTAAATGTATGGTGGGTACAGCAGAAGCTCTGTTGGGAAGATAGGGTAGGGGTTTTCATAAACCTCTTTCCTTGGACTTCCCCATACCCCCCCTCTCTGCATCCCAATGTCCATAATTCAACTAGCAACTCCCAATTGTTACTTTCCAGTCTCTATCATCTTAGTCCTCTTTTATATTTCTAGCCTTATGTCCCTGTACCCCTTTGTTTCTGGAAACCACAACATTTTAGCATTCATTAAGTTTATAGTAGTCCTTAAGATAACTTTTAAATTTTCTCCATTCTTCTTCCACCGTCTCTTTTCGTTGGTCACGGATTCTGCCTGTCATCTCGGCCAATGTCATGTAGTCCATCACTTTCATCTGCCATTCTTCCAGAGTGGGTAGATCTTGTGTCTTCCAATACTTTGCGATGAGTATTCTTGCTGCTGTTGTGGCGTACATGAAGAAAGTTCTATCCCTCTTTGTCACCAATTGGCCGACAATGCCCAAGAGAAAGGCCTCTGGTTTTTTAGGAAAGGTACATTTGAGTACCTTTTTGATTTCATTATAGATCATTTCCCAGAAGGCCTTAATCTTCGGGCATGTCCACCAGAGGTGGTAGAAGGTACCTTCAGTCTCTTTACACTTCCAACATTTGTTATCGGGCAGATGATAGATTTTTGCCAGCTTGACTGGGGTCATGTACCACCTGTAAATCATTTTCATTATGTTTTCTCTTAAGGCATTACATGCCGTAAACTTAACACCGGTGGTCCATAACTGTTCCCAGTCAGCAAACATAATATCATGACCAATATCTTGTGCCCATTTAATCATAGCTGATTTCACCGTTTCATCCTGTGTATTCCATTTCAACAACAAGTTATACATTCTTGATAGATTCTTAGTATTGGGTTCTAGCAGTTCAATCTCTAGTTTTGATTTTTCCACCTGAAAGCCAATTTTCCTGTCCTGTTTGAAAAGCTCCATTACTTGATAGTATTGAAGCCAGTTTGTACTTTATGTTTCAATTTGTCCATAGCTTTGTAATTTCCACTTATCTCCATCCTGTTCCAAAATTTCCCAATACTTCGGGCCATCCGACCTCCATATTGAGTTTCTTTACTGCTTTAGCCTCGACTGGTGACACCCAATCTAGGGGTTTTGTTTTCCAACAGATCTTTATATCTCATCCATACATTAAACAATGCTTTTCTAACAATGTGATTTTTTAAAGGCACTATGCTGCTTAATTTTGTCATACCCATAGATATGCATGCCAACCGATATAGGGTAGGTTTCAGGCAGTCTTCAATCCTGGCATCTTCCCTGTTCAATCTCTCCTCTGGGTCAATTGTATATGTAAACGTCCCTTATTTCAGAGTGCTTTATTTAAACAAAGATTTAGTCGATTGATCAAATGTTTGCATAAATAACTTTGAAGAAAAAAGCATGAAGTCTTCTTTTTAGATTTATGCCTTCAAATGTTTTGCATGTCAGCACTTCTTTTTAACTGGTCAAAACTAAACAGTACAGTTGTATGCAGTAGGGTGGCTACTGCATACATCTGTGGCCCACCAGATGTTGTTGGACTCCAGCTCCCATCAGCCCCAGCAGGTGGCAGAGATGATGGGAATTGTAGTGCAGCAACATCTTGAAAGCTGCAACTTCCCCATCTGTGCTATACAGCATATTCAGAAGTCCCACTGTGTTGAGTAAGACTTACTTCCCAGTAAGGAAGGGTGCTAAGGTTATAGCCTACATCAACTGGGCATGTAACAGGTATCAAACATTGCAGGCATCCTACTCTGATTATTAGTACAGACATTGATCAAATAGAGAGGGGGAGGGTTGAATCCAACTAAATTCTGCTTGACCTACTGAAATTAATAGATCTGTGGTTGAATTAGGTCTTCACCAAGTACATATAATGTTGAATACAACTCAGAGATGTTGTAGCTGAAAACCCTTAATCTCAGTGGTGCAGAAGATGCCAGTGGTTATTTAAGAGATATGCACTCTGCACACACTCAGAGGCACAGCTCAGCATTGTTTCCTGTGGTTAAATTGTTTCCTGGACTGTCAATAAATCATGGGTGAGGGGAGGGACACTATGACTTCCTTTGCTTGCACTTGGTCTCAGGTTCAATCATTGGCATCGCCAGTTTTTTAAAAGAGCCTGGTGGCAAATGATAAGAAAGTCCTCTGCCTCAGATGAGATTAGACTAGAGAGTTTCTGGCAATATTAGGCAAGAAAGGCAAGCAGCCTCACCTGCATTAAGGCAGCATCCGACATTATGCTATATCCATGAAAATTCTGGCATTACTTTTGGGTGTTAGTGAATCGCTTCTTCTTGCCTTTGGGTTGATGTCCAGAACCTTCAGGAAACTGTCCTTTATTAAGCAATGGGGCTTTGCAAATGCATTAACAGATGCATTAACAGATGAGCAGCTCATCGTTACCATTTCAGCGGCAACCCTGAGATACAGGTGCTTCCCATTATTGGCAGCAGGGGAGGGCGGGAAAACCCCAAATGGTCACCGTGAAGCATATTCCATAATTCACAATTGATATGCCCTCTTGCTCTCTGTTTACATTTGGTTTTTCTAGGAGTGAAAGGGAGTGACTGTTCTGACGGGCTGCATCTGTTGACCAATCTGTGCTGTAATCTGTTCAATATGGCACTGTTCATTTCCCTTTTTAAACTTCATTTCCTTTCGGTGTTGCAGTCTCTGCGTTTCGTAAGCCTACAGATATTGAGCGTGTCTCTAAACTACAGCGGAGAAAGGGTTTTTAATTTATTTTTTTTGTAATGCTTTTGTTAAGAGAAGGTGGGAAATTAGCCAACTGCAGCCAAAGTGTTCATTTTCAGAATAAAGAACAGCGTTTCATGGAGGCTGCTGATTGTCTGAACAAAATGTGCTCCTAGCCTTTCAAGACCATAGTTCCTATTGCTGAAAACAAGTCTTTCTTTCCTGAATGGAAATGATTTCCAAGAGCTATTTCAAGTTTGACAATTTTTCTCTCTCCACTGCTGGCATTGATTTATAAGGCTGTCACCCACTGGAAACAACAAGAATCGAAGAATCATAGAATTGGAAGGGACTACGAGGGTCATCTAGTCCAGTGTTTCCCAACCTTGTGCCTCCAGCTGTTTTTGGCCTACAATTCCCATCATCCCTTGCCACTGGTCTTGCTAGTCAGGGATGATGGGAGTTGTAGTTCAAAAACAGCTGGAGGCACAAGGTTGGGAAACACTGATCTAGTCCAACCCCTTGCAATGCAGAAATGCATGATTAAGAGTCTCATGCTTTTACCGACTGAGAGTCTTGTATCACCTTTAAAGACTAACAGACTTACTATGCCATAAGCACTGGAGGACTACAGTCCACTTCATCGGGTGCATGAAGTGGCAACCTGTGTTCCATGCAGATTTCTATTTGTACTTGTCCCCATTCAACAAACCTTCTAGAACAGTGGTTCTCAATTAGCTAAGTACTGCTGGGGGTTTTCGGAGTTCATCATTTGCTCTGTTCCAAGAAATCTTCATTACGAGCCTGTTTGGATCATAGAATTGTAGAGTTAGAAGAGGCCGCAAGGGTCCTCTAGTCAAATCCCCTGAAATGCAGGAATCTCAACTAAAACATGCATGATAGATGGCCAT